CCCTCTCGACTTTTTTTCCCACTTTGATGTTCCTTCCCCTATGTGAAGACTGAAGTCAACTAAAGGGCTAATGATAACCATCAAGACGCCTGCCATTTGATATAAATATAAATAAATAAATACTGTCAAACGAACTTATTATTCGGTTCCACTTAATCTTTTTAACCAAAATTATTTTAGTTAACATTGTCATTTACACGCATTCATATTTCTATCGCTGAAAATACAGTTTTTATTAACTCATTATCATTGAAACATTAATTTTAACCAAGGAAATATCTACCGTCTTTTTATTGATCTTTCCTGTCTGTATGGTAATAAATAACTTTCTATTCACACTTTTAAACTAAATGGATAATGGAAATGAAAGGTACCATGATAATTCAGTTGTAAAAGTGAACATGTTCAAAAACTATATTATTGGTTTCTAGAACCATAGGTGCCGTCCCAAAGAGTGTAATGACCAATCTCGCTGGTAGAAAACGGGCACCTTTCATGGTATATATTGCTGTTACTTACCTAAGATGAGCTCAGGTCGTATTTTTTTGATATTATGTGGATTTTATATTATTCTTAGTTTATCTTCAGCTTGAAAGTCTCTTCTCACTATGTAAAATTTGTGTATATAATTATATTTTGCCACATTGTCATAACCTCATAAATACTTTTAACCTGATATCTTTAAGAACATCCTAGAATAATTTCATATACTTATAAGTTTTTTTGGTCACGATTACTGAGAAAATGTTATTTAACGTTGGAGAAAGTATCTGTTCATAGAAATGAATAAAGCCAATATCCGTTGTGTAATCACCTACTAAATCATCATGCTTACTTTTCATGAGTTTTAACTTAAGAGATTATTAAAGTCCTTGAAGTAATGGCTGCCGTTGCCGGCTAAGGCATTCATGTATAAAAATGGGGAAAGTTTATTTAGCGTTTCAATGTCCATAACCAATAGTTTTACTAAAGTAAACATATAACTAAAACATATATGTATATTTTAAGTATCGATAACCATACATAACGTAACTTGAACTATAAAAGTTTAATTTAATTAAATCCTCATTTTATTTCAAGTTATCAAAATAGCGTAACCATAAACTATATTTAAACTTAAGATCGTTCTTAGTACTTTAAATATCTGCATTTACAGGTTTTCTTTATCAGAAATTGGGTCTCATTCACATAAATTTCTAAAATTCTCATGGAAGATTAGGAGTCATTGTTAGCGTTTAATCCAGCTTAATTATTATTTTTAATGATTTTGATATGAATTACCATTTCAAATCTTTATGAGGAAAGCAACGATGAATTCAAATGCCTTAAGAAATGATCTTAATTATAACGTATTGTTCAATCTTAATATATTTACGACAAGGCCTTTAATATATTGAATCAGGATAACATATAACTCTGCGAGTTTTTTGAAGGTATATCATAATTTAAAATTGTATTAACTCTAGTAGTTGGAAACGGATAAGATATATGAGTAGAAAGATGTATTGAGCCTAAACTACTTTCTCAAGGATAAATTTTGCACTATATTTAACATAAACTTGAATTTTTGTGTAATAATTGATTCATAACTGAACTAAATATTTTACATACTGTGAAGTTGCTAAATATTTCACTCAATTAAAACAGCTCCGCTCTTTTCGAATAATGGCTATGTCGAAATGTGGGAAGTATTTTTTGTTTTGTAAGTTCTTTAACATATATATTATATGATAATATTAGCTAAAAATGTCAGCAAATTGATGTCCCTTCAACGTCCTGTAATTTCTGGCTTCGCTACTGCGACTGATAAGACTTCAAAAACCGAGACACCACAAGATAAAAACCTTGCCATCACGGAGAAGGCCATTAAGGGCGCTGAGGAATTGGCAAATAAGTACCATAAGGTTAGAATTTCAATTGTTTTCATCATTTTTTCTTCAGCACGTTTCTGATTCAATTGTAAGATGGGAAAAATGCAATGAAGTTTACTACGGCAAAGAACGTGATATGGCGAACTACCCCACCATCAAGGTTGCCGAACAGCATCCCAAAGTTCGTCTCGGTTTTATACCGGACTCTTGGTTCCAACTTCTCTACTCTCGCACCGGTGTTACTGGTCCTTATCTTTTCCTCGGTGGAACCACAGCTTTTCTCTTAAGCAAGGAATATTGGGTTGTAGATGGTCATTTCTTGGAAGTTATTCCGTTCATCATCATCATGACCTGGGGTATTAAAAAGTTCGGTACTCAATGCTCGGATTACCTTTCCAAGTTCACTCAGGTTTGTGTTTATTTCGCCTGTCTTTGATAGCGTATTCGTTTATTATCTTGATTATTTTTCTCCGTTTAGCAAAGAATCGATAATTTCTATACTAAGCCATTGAAAAATGTTAATGCTAATTTGGACAAGGCCATCAAGTCTGCTGATGAGGAAATTGCCCGAGCAGCTTGTATTCCCACTTTGGTTGCAGCTAAGAAGGAGAATATCGATTTACAGTTGGAGGCAGCGTATCGTGAAAGACTGCAGAATGTCTACAAAGCCGTCACCCGGCGTTTGGACTACCACGTCGAGCGGGAGAACATTCGTAGGCGTTTCCAACAGCAACACATGGCTAACTGGGTTACATCGGCTGTTGTTTCTGAAATTACTCCTTCTCAGGAAAAGGAGACCCTGCAAAAATGCATTCAGGATTTAAAGGCATTGGCTGCTAAGCAGGCCGTTAGCAGGGCTTAAGCACCCTTATCCCCCTCCACTTCCCTTTGTGAGCAAATTTGATATCCTCTCCCCGTAGCATTGTACGTGGATTACTTCTACACTGTTAATAATTTAGAACTGCATAGTAATGTTACTGGACTCTTCTGAAATTATCTTCTGATAATTTGGTTTTTTACCTAGTGTGGTCATTTTCGATCACCTACTTTTCTGCCTAGCTTTTTTGTTTTTTGGTAGTCACAGTGTACATAAGTTTTATTTATCGTGTGTTTGCTTCTTTTTGCTATCTAGAAGTGGATTTTCCACATGTAGATGTCTATTTTTTGCATCTGTGGCAAGTATTAGAATTACCAATAAGAAATTGGGCGTTAAGGAACCAGGTTTGTAGTATTAAATATGATGGTATGCATTTTTAGCAATCATTTGTAACTACCACTGCTTTTGTAGATTTCTATCCTTGACAAATTTCTGCTTTAAATTTGTATATTTGCTCAGGTGGTTTTCGACTTCGTTTGCATTTCGTTGTCGTTTTTCTCTTAGACTATGCTCAATAGGCTTGACAAAGTGGTGATAGGATGGAGTGAGGTCGAGGAATGCGGAAGACGTGAAATTTTAGGAAGGTGACTCTTGCTTTGTGCTGGCAGACATTGTCATGTCGAGGGACTATAACTTTCTGCTAAATAAACATAGAGTTTTACCTTCTAGTTTCTGTTTTACTCATCTTTATTGGTCACAGCAACTATTTTGATCTCTTTTATCAATTCGTAATGTATCATTCCATTTACATCTCACTAAATGTGTATACAAAACATCCTATGGCTTAACCCTGGCTTGATTTAGGAGATGGAGTGGGTGATGGACTTTGAGACTATCATTGTCTCGCCTCACGTTGTCGTAAACAGTCAACTTATCGTCTCAAGTAGTAATTAGGCATAAAGGACGAATTCTTTTGTTTCTAAGATAACATCCATTCCCCATCCTTTTCAACTTTTTTCTATCACGAACTTTTACCCATCATACTTTCGAGTAATTTCCACCCCTCATTGATTTTCACTTTAATTGAAAGCATCAGTGCATTCATGAATGTAATTTTGTTGCCAGTTATTATTTTGGGGAAAAAATATTCGAAAGGGCTGTAATTCATTGAAAAGTTCTTCTACAAAGATTTTCAATGCATTTGACCCGGAAGGCATTTATTTTTGGCAGGAATAAATATGTGCGCGATAAAGGGAATAATTTTATCAAAGGAAAATTATTCATAAAATTTGCACATTTGTCAAGATGGGCCAAGTTTTCTGTCAGTTTCATTACTTTTTAGAATCTCGAATTTTTATTGTATTCCGGCTATTGAAGGCCATTTGGGAAGGCTAATCCGATTAACATGAGCGGCTAGCACACGTATTTTCTTTCATCTCTTTCTTCTTATAATTTTTGTCAGTTAATAAAATTGTCTGATCGCTTTGGTTAATCTACGTACATTTCAATGACCGAACAAGCAGTTTTTCTCTATTTAGGAATATTGGGCCCAAAGAAGTCGGCCTATTCTTTATTCGGTACTCCACTCAGATTGAAGAATGTATGTTGTCTTCCCGGTCATTTATTTAAGTCATTCATCTAGTTCCTTCAGAGTTGAATGGTACTCTCACTTTACTATCTCATGATCATAGATTGGATTGGTAGTTGCATTATCACCAATAACGCTTTAACCACATATCTACTGTAAGGTCTAAAATATACTGAATGGTTAATTCTTTGAACATATAATACCTTAGCTGCTTTTTCTGAAAATATTTGCACTCACAATTGCGCAACTCTCTTTATATTCATAAGAAAATGTGATAAAAGTTGAAAACTGGTTTCTTGTGTATTCTAATATATCGTAACCTAATTATCACCTCGGAAAATAAGTTGAGGTAATGTAATGAGTTGTGGTAATGTGTTTTACCAATGACCACTTTACGAGAATAGTATATACTAATTCCCATATCCTTGGAGGAAGATTATGAATATCGATCCATATTAGTTTGACTTGGGGGGTGCGATAGACTTACCTCCACGTGGTGCACCCTGGGCAACGCATACTCATACGGCAAAAAGTCTATTAACCGACAGTTGACTTCTGACTTCAAACTACCATGCCCCGACTGCTTGTCATTTTCGGCTCCTTCCATAGTACTCATCTTACCTTTTTCTCTACCTTTGTGTCTGTCTGCCTCTTTTACATCTGTGAATCGCTCTTCTGTTCCCCACCCCTCGACTTTCTTCTACATTGATGAACCCTCCCTCTGTGAAGCCCGAAGTCAGCTAAATGGCCAATGATAACTATCAAAACGCCTGCCATTTGAAATAAATAAATAAATAAGTTTGACTCAACAAACCGACTACAGGTAGCTTTAAAAATACGGAAAAATGCAGAATGAAACTTGAAAAGACCGGCAGCTAAGGGACCATAAATCTGATATTGTGCGTTTCGCCTCCTAATGCTAATTTCGAATTTCAACATACTTATATCAAATAGCAGGCTTTATGATAATTATCATTAGCTTCACAGAGGGGAGGCACATCTAAGTCCCAAAAAGTCGAGAGTGGGAACAGAAGAATGATTTACAAATGTAAACGAGGCAGACACAAAAGCAGGGAAAGGATAGTCGAATATGAAATACAGTTGAGTCATGGTAGTTTGAAATCAACTGCCAGTTTATAGATTTTTTCGCCGTATGAGTATCGCTTACCTATAGCTTAGAGTGGCTGGTTCACCCTCCATATAACGGCACATCAAACGCTTCAATACAATTGATAAATTAAAATGCCAATCAATGGGATGGGTAGCTTTTCATTAGCGAGGTCCTGTGTGAGATTATTATCACAATAATGTTTGCTAATGAATTGGTCAATTTTTTGTTAATAGGCTAAATGGTCTCAACCAATAAAATTCCTTGTAGGAGTAAGTCTGCAAGTACCTAAACATAACTATGTCCATTCGTACATTTACTCAATACCTCCTTTGTGCTCTTGAAAATCATGCATTAGGTTCACTTTTACACTTAATACCAACCTTTGTTTAGTCACTCAAAAAGCTTTTTCGCCCATTTGTTCACTTCTTAGATTGTAGTTTATGATGATTTTGAAATAAGAAAAAATGATTTGATGAGAAGGGGAAATATGTGGACTTCACAAAATTTAAAATAAAAAACAGAGCAAAAAGAAAGAGACAGAGATGTGAGCGGTCTAGAGGCATTTTGAACCAGCTCCAATTGCTTTGAATATTTAGTGATCTAAGGTAACTGAGAACAAAACTAAGGAATATAAAAGAAGACTTGAGGATTTATATGTGGAAGAGCAGGAAAGATGCAATCTGTTGAAGTGGCACAAAAGGAGACGAGATGCATCAGCCCCCACTAAGGACTTCAAATACTTGAACTATGGTTTCCTTTGTTCTCGATCTTCTTCTATTTGCACTCTCTTATAAATAGTACACACTCTCTTAATCTCGAAGAGAATTATATTTACAACTTACCTCCATGTGGTGCATCCTAGGCAACGTATACTCACACGGTAAAAAAAGTCTATAAACCGGCAGTTGACTTCTGACCTCAAAGTACAATGGCCCCACTGTATGTCATATTCGACCTCTCCACGGTACTCACCACTCTTTTTACTCTGCCTTTGTGTCTGTCTGTCTCTTTTACATCTTTGAATCTCCCTTCTGCTCCCCCTCTCGAATTTTTATCCCTTTGATGTTTCTCCTCTCTGTGAAGCTCGAAATAAGTTAAAGGACTAATGATAATTATCAAAACACCTGCCATTTTATACAACATATACTACTTAAATCAAGTTAAATAGGGTTAATTTTATTTATAAATGGGTTTTGTAGCATTTTTCAGGTACTAAATATCTTATTGATGCAACTGTGGGACATGTCGTTACCTCTGGGCCTGTTTCTGAACTTTCAATTTTACAAATATTTAAAT